CTTTTTTACCGATGACGTAACATGGTCCGTGACGTCATCGTCGAAAGCGGGTTCGCTGTAAATCAGCGGAGTGAGAAGAAGGAGTAATAAGAGCAAGTCTGGTGGTGATGAGGATGATAATGGTGGTGGTGATGATGATGATGAGGTAGTTATTAATATTAATATATTTCTATTATTATTATTTCCTTAATTAATTTTCAGAAAATTCAACAACAGCAACAACAACACGTAAATTGCATATGAAAAAAGTCAGATGATCTGCTTGCAATCGAACCATGTCAGTGAAGCAGCCGAGTCAGGCGCCCTAACCACTACACCACCATCTCGGAGCCCACATAACAATAATAATAAAAAAATAACAAAACAATAATAATAAAAATAATAATAAATGATAATAACAATAACAACAACAACAACAACAACGAAGCATTTGCAGCATCATGCAATTAACTTGTTCTGCACTGCATTGCAAAAGTTCAAGCAGAGAACAACACCGAAGCTGTATAATAAAAACAACAAAAATAATACCAATATTAAAAATAACAACAACAACAACAACAACAACAACAACAACAACAACAACAATAATAATAATAATAATAATAATGATGATAACATTATAAAAGGTTACAGCATATACGTATAACGGAGTCTTTAACAATACACAATTTATTACACATATAATATAACATTAATACTTACCAGTATGGTTGATATTAATGGCCAAATAATAAACAACTAAATTATTTTATTATAAACCAAGTAAATAATTAATTAATTAATCAACCTGAATTGTAAAATCTAATTATTATTATTAGCCACACACCCAAGATAGTTTTTTCTAAAGTTTGGTTATCAATTTGGTGTGGGAAAACCCAAATACCCATACAAACGCGCATGCAACGTCGCATTCCCCCATGTTTGATTTAACATCTTAATTGTTATCATTTAGTTAAGAACTAGGAATTCAAAAATGTTTTTCACACAGAGTATTCGTATTTTTGTCAAATTGTTATTTTTGTCTTGTCTGAAAATATCTTTTAAAAACTTTTTCTTAAACATTTTTAGACGCTTAATTCTTCACGATTCCTCAAACAAACAAACATTCCCAGTTTGAGTGTAAATAAATATTAAGAAAAAACACGAACAATATTGCTAGATTGATTGCTTCTTAAACCGTTTAATGAGAATAGCACTGGTTTGTTTCTTCATTTTGGAAGCTGTTTGTAGAGCTAGTATACATAATGGCAATTGTTTATAACTAGTAACTGCGGATGTAAAAAGATGCCGCTAAGCTGACTTACATTCAAAGTTTTTAGCCATTTAGTTAGCTCTTATTTAAATATGTTGTAGTTGGTCCTCCAAATCCAATGCTATTTATAATGTTGCTTTTTGGAAAAAATGAATATACCATATATTATGTAAGTGTGTGTGCGTGCGTGTGTATGTGTGTGTATACGTGTAACACCTTAATACTAATGCAAATATGAAAAGCAATAAATAATAAGGCTTGCACTTAATACAAGCTATCTCACGTTTACAATTGCATGTGTGTTTTAAACACACACACACACACACACACACACACACACACACACACACACACACACACACATACAAAAAACACATACAAAACACAAACACTTAAATGTGAACAATGATGATGACGACGACGACAACAATGATGATGATGATAATGATGATAACGATGATGACGACGAAGATGATGATGATGTAAAATATTTGTTTACTTTTTATTGAGAATAAGTTTTTCCATGGCTGAAAATGGTTTATCGTCACCGACATACTTGTATTCCAAACCTTATAATAATAACAATAACAATGGTAACAATAAAAATAATAATAATAACAATAATAATAATAATAAAAGAAAAGGAAGAAGAAGGAGGAGGAGAAGAAGAAGAAGAAGATAGAGACGGAGAAGGAGAAGAACAAGAACAAGAAAAACAAGAAGAACAAGAAAAAGAACAAGAAATAGAAATAATAACAATAAAAATTTGGGACTTTCTAACTTGATTCTGCTAGAGGTTAAAACGTTAGTTCTTGTAGGTTTTTAAAAATTGTTATTGTTGTTATTGATTTCAGTTGTTGTAGTTGCTAGTTGTTGTTGTTGCTATTGTTGTTGTTGTTTTTGATGTTATTTTGTTTGTTGTTAGCGTGAATTATAATTATTATAGCGTTGACTCTTTGTTGTTGTTGTGTTGTTGATATTGTAGTTGCTATTGCTAATAATATTTTGTTGTTATTATTATTGTTGTTAATGTTGATGTTATTGTTGTTGTTGCTGTTGTTGTTGTTTAGTTGGTCTGTTTGTTTCCTCTATTCCTTGCTACCTGACATAAAACATAAATAACAACATCAAAAATAATAATAATAATAATAACACAGATAACAATAACCTGAATATCCTAAAAATGTGTAAAAAAAACTATTACATTCATATGTTGAATATATTAAGTTATGCTACGTTATTCTTATCACTCCGACCAAGCAATCAATAGTATTGCAGTACTACTACAACTACAACAAGTAGTAATGATGATAGTAATAGTAACGACAGCTGCAGCAGCAGTAGTAGTAGCAGCAGCAGTTGTTGTAGTAGCAGCAGTAGTTGTAGTAGTAGTAGTGAAATTTTTGTTTGTTAAAGTAATATTTTTGTTTTCATAGTTGAAGTAAATACTAGTAAATTAGTAGTAAAATTATTAGTAGTTGCAGCAGTAGTAGTAGTAGTAGTAGTAAAAGTAGTAATGGTAGAAGTAGTAGTAATAGTAGTAGTGGTAGTAATAGAAATAGTAGTAGTAGTAGTGGTAGTATAGTAATTTTTACTGCAAATGTTCTATAATGAAACTACAATGCTACTTGTATGACTGCCTATTAATAGTAGTAGTATTTTATCAGGAAATATTTTAAATAATTTTGTTGTTTTAATTAATTTTTAATCAATTAATTTTAGCAATAATTAAAAAAATACGATTATTTAATTAAATATTAATTATTTCATTATTTATTAAACAAATTTAAAAATTAAAGTAACTCTACTAAATTTTTTTATTACTATTGTGTAAAATCACTAATATACACACTTATATTTGCCATGTATGTGTATGTATGTAAGTATGTATGTATGTACGTATGTACGTATGTATGTATGTATGTATGTATGTATGTATGTATGTATGTATGTATGTATGTATGTATGTATGTATGTATGTATGTATGTATGTATGTATGTAGTATGTATGTATGTATGTATGTATGTATGTATGTATGTATGTATGTATGTATGTATGTATGTATGTATGTATGTATGTATGTATGTATGTTTACAAAAGAAAACTTTGAATAAAAATTCAGACAATGATATAACACGCTTTACTGTTGAACATGTGTGTGCGTGTGTATGTTGTTATGTTGGTATGGATGTGTATGAGTGACAAAGATAGATAGATAATAGACAGATAGAGAGAGAAAGAGGGAGAGAAAAAAAGAGAAAGAGAAAAAAAGAGGAGAGAGAGAGAAAGCAATAAAAAAAGGAAGAAGTGAAAGAAAGAGATGAATAAGAAGAATAAGAAGTTAAAAATGTATGTTTTTATGTGTGTTTTTTATGTGCGTCTGTGTTATTATCGTTATTATTATTATTGTTATTACCAATATTTTTAGTAATATTACTAACAAATAATAGTATGAGCTCTATATCCAACAAAGTTAAACAACAAGTAAACAATTTATCAATAACATTACTTATTATGCCTTATTATTATTATATGTTTATTTATTACTTTTATTATTGTTATTTTTTATTTTTATTGCTTAAACTTTTTATTTTTATTTGGCGTTATCTCGCTCGTTCTTACTCCTAGCAAGAGAAAAAAAGTTTGCCTTACGGATATGAGCTTATATGCAATAGTGGTGATGGAGATAATGAGGACGATGAAAACGACGATGATGAAGAGAAGGGAGAAGAACAAGAGAAGAAGTTGATGATTATGATGATGGAGAAGATGAAGAAGAAGATGATGATGATTATGATGATGAAGAAGATGAAGAAGATGATGATTATGATGATAAAGAAGACGGTGATGATAATGATGATGCAGGAGGTGACGAGGAGGATGCTGATGAAAATGAAGCAAGGAAGAAGATGATGATGATGATGAGAACAATGATGATGATGATGAGAACAATGATGATGATGATGATGATGAGAACAATGATGATGATGAATATTGTTATTTCTTTTATTGCCATCACGTGTCTTCTAATACCAATCAAAAATGACCTTGGCAGTGCTAATTGTAGATATGTGCTTCGAACAATGTCAATAACAACAACCACAATAATAATAATAACAATAGCGAGATGAATCCTTATATGATGAATGATGTATGTTTGAATGAATTCATTTTGATAGAAAGAGCTGCACACACTCTATAAATGCATGTATGTCTGTGTGTGTGTGTAGGCCTATATATATATATCTGTGAACATGTATCTCTATTCATTTCTCTCTCTCTCTCCTCTGTCTCTTTTCTGTGGTGTGTGTATTTATGTGTGTATGTATGCATTCTTTGAAAGATGATTGCTTACTATCGTTTCAACTCTTCTTTTCAATCAAAATGGAATGAAGTAACCAATCCCAAACCAAATAACACACGACACAAATCAAAAATTTCGTGAAAAACAAAACCCAAAAAACATAATAAAAAACAACTCGCAAAAATATTACTTTTATTACAACTTCTATGTTGTGGCCTTTGTACATATTTTCGACCAACTGAAAATTTGACAATTGATATGTATTTGAGACGATATGGTGATGATGATGACGATGATGAAAAGAATGATGATAAATATGATGATGATGAGAAGAATGATGAGGATGATGATGAATAGAACGGTAGAGGCAAGTGGTTCTGGAGTTTCCGTGATTGGCATGTCCACTGTTGATACTCCAAAGAATTAGGTAAGAGACATTTAACTAAAATTTGATTTCTTTTTATTTTCACAAAATAAAAAAACTTTTGCTGTCCAAGTTTACTGATAAAACAAATGATCCGAAAATATATAATTTTTTTATACTTGTAAAAACGATTAGCAGCAACAAATAAGATAAATGCTTGTAAGAAAATGTTGTGAAATCATAAACACTCCAAGCACTAAGTCTAAAAATCGCAACAAAAAACTCGAAAACTTCTTCTAAAATGTGAATTAAGAGGAAATGTGCATTCTCAATATACTGACGCCTATCAAGTCAAACAAAAATTCGTCAAAATGAAAAATATTATTGTGTACAAACAAAATCTAACAAATACACTGCTTGTACAATGCAATCAAATTATGCAATAAAATGTCAAAATACACACACACACACACACACACACACACACACACACAACAAAACAAAAACATCGAATAAATTATTTTATTGAATTTTTTTCTTCGTAGAGACCATCTTGTATTCTAAATTTCTTGTGAGTACCTTGATGACGAGCATGCCAGCAAGTGTGGACTCCATTATGATGAAGGCACCTCTCCAGTTCAAACTGTTTGCCACCATGCTGAATGGTAGGCCCGCTGTCACCGCTCCAACTGTTTCAAATTAAGGGCAAAAATAAATCATAATAATAATAATAACTGTAATAATATTACGTCATTATTAAAATTTAATTTCACAATTCTTTCTTTAGTATTTCTAAGATACACGTGAATCAAAAGCAAAAGCAGTGCCCGCCAATTTAACAATCACAAATCACTACCAATCACTACCAATCACTACCAGCCAATTAGTTTTGAAACACAAATAGCCATCAACCAATCAGCAAGCAAGGCACAAACATACTCCTCCCACTAACCATTAGCAGCTAGCGAGGCGATAGCGTGGGAGGTGCCTTGCAAGTGGACAGGTGAGGCTTCCATGGACATAACACCATATATGGAGATGGGACCGTACGCCCCAAGCCCCATTAAGAAGCCGATTGCTGCTATGAATATCTGTGAGATGGATGGATGGATGGACAAATGATTACTTGATTGATTGCAAGCTGTATCAGTTGATTCATTGGCTGACAGTATGAACGTATTAAACAACAAATTAATATATTTATTGAAATTTAACATGAATAAGCTATAAAATACAACCTTCAAAAAACAACCAATCAGAGAAACTAAACAGCCAACCGACTGACCAACCAGCTAACAGGCCAGTCTGCCAACTAACCAATCAATCAGCCAACCAACCAATCAATCAGCCAACAACCAATCAGCCAACCAACCAATCAACCAGCCAACCAATCAGATAACAAGCCAGCCAACCAACCAATCAACCTACCAACCAACCAATCAGATAACCAGCCAGCCAACCAACCAATCAACCAGCCAACCAACCAATCAACCAGCCAACCAACCAATCAGATAACCAGCCAGCCAACCAACCTGAGAAGATGCACTAGTGATGAAAAAGAGAAGAAGATGAAGAGAGACAGTGAGTATGAGGACATACACAGTAGCCACCGTCATTCTCGGACTGCCCGTGATACTGGATGTTTGCTCCGTCTGCTTGACGTCAGTGATGACGTTGATGATGTACGTGTGAGAGATGATGACGTCAGTGATGACGACGATGATGTACGTGTGAGAGATGATGACGTCAGTGATGACGACGATGATGTACGTGTGAGAGATGATGACGTCAGTGATGACGACGATGATGTACGTGTGAGAGATGATGACGTCAGTGATGACGACGATGATGTACGTGTGAGAGATGATGACGTCAGTGATGACGACGATGATGTACGTGTGAGAGATGATGACGTCAGTGAGAGATGATGACGTCAGTGATGACGTTCACGAAGTACATTTTTATAACGATAGTGACGAAGACGACGACGACGATGATTAAGTAAATATAGCTGATAACAATAACGGCAACAATGATGATAACAACTACGAAATCAATCAGAATCACGACAAAGATGACAACAATGACAAAAAGAAAAGACTGAGACACGTAAACTCTTACGTCTGCAACCAGCATGTCAGCTATGTAGCCAGCAGAAATTGAACCTAACACCCCACCCACTTCCATGCAGCTGATGAATAGACTGCCTAACAAAAATTTAATGTAATTGTAATAGCGTCGAAACTGTAATTCTAATTGTAATGTAACGGTATTGCAATAATACATTATTGTAATGAAGAAGAAATACGGCTGTAAATGTAACGAAACAGTAACACAACAACAACAACAACACACAACAACAAGATCAAAACAACAACAACAACAGCATCAACAACAACAACAACAGCATCAACAACAACAACAGCAACAACAGCAGCAACAACAACAACACAACAACAACATCACAACAACAACAACAACGTACCAACATAAGTACTGTGCCCTAACTCCTGGATGATGAACAATTGGCCCCAATCCAGTGCGGCTGTCCTCGCCATGAAGACCAGCATGTAACTCAGACAGACTACCCACATGAATGGACTCTTAAGTAGGTCATTCCACGAACCTCGACCTCTTAAATTCTGATTGGCTGCTGAATGGACATGCATATGTATTGAGATATGTTAACTTATTAATGAGGGATATATTTTTTTGAAGTTATTCTTAGTTATAGTACAATGCTGTAAAAATAAGTGTAACTGATTATATATAGACACATACACACATTTAAACGATCAATCAAATCAACTAACTGATGCTAACTAACCAACCAAACAACCAACAAACCGACCAATCAACCAACCAACCAATCGACTGACCAATCAACCAACCGACCAACCAGTTGAGTTATTTGTATTTGAACCTTGATCATCCACTCGAATCATCATGAAACTGACAACACTACCCAGAACAGCAGCAATGCCTGTGCATGTCACAAAGCAATTTAATTACTGAAGATAACAAATAAGAAATATTATGGTAAAAAATAGATAAAAATAATAAACAATATATCAACAATAAAATTTAATAACTAATTATTTATAATTAGCTTGCCAATTTTTAAAAGCAAACAAGCACTTGTATCGAAGATCGATTTTGGGACAAAAAACGTTGACAGACATCCAACAAAATGAAACAAATCTCTAAACCAAACTGCCAGGTATATATAGACATAAGAAAAGCTTATGAAGCCATTAAGCTTTGGCAAGCCTTCACACAATAGTCACGATGAAAATGATGAAGAATATTAGACATAACATAGAAACATAAATTTTTTTAAATAACATCAAGTGAAAGGTAACATTAATCCAAACGTAAAATTAACTCGAGACGACACAAAAGCTCTGGGGTGCCTGTGCATACAAGTGCCTTACATGAAACCATTACAGCGCACCAACCACCTCAGCACAGACTAGCGGCGGATCCGAAATTTAGTGAATTATTTAGTGAATTATTTAGTGAATTATTTAGTTAATTAGTGCCCTGGTGAATTATTTTAAAATTCAACAGCCGATGACAATCATTTGCTGATTCCCGTAATTCCCAATTTGGTGGGAGGAATGATTTCCAAAAATTCTCAAGTTAATAGCATTGTTTCTGCAAATTTCCGCTTCTGCTGGATCCGCCGCTGAAATCAACCAACCAGTTGTCGTTAAGAACAACTGGTTGGTAAACGTCAGCATCACCACCCACCAGAGACAAGGAAGACACCAGACCAAGATTGCAGAGAGATAATAAGAGTGACCAGAGCTGGTCCAAGGCAGCAAGCCACATTCATCCCAGTGTTCAAGACACCGTACCAGGTACAGAACTCCATGTCGGAAAATATCTGTCAAGAAGAATTTTTTATTAGGAACAATGAAGTAGAGAGAAAGAGTGAGAGAGAGAAAGAGAGAGGAGAGAGAGATATCAGAAAAAGAAAGAGAAGTGTTCTGAAGCGAATAAGGAACTAGATTGAAACCATACATGTAGATGCATTAATAGATATAGCACTAACAAAACAAACTACAATAATATTTCATCTGTAAGTTATCCATGGCAAATAAATACACTTTGTTAGTTTTTGACCGAACATACCACTTATGCAAACAAATAAATGAAATGCTAATTAAACTCTGACGAAAAATGTTAGAATTTGGTGCTATTTAGAATGTTAGTTGCTAGCACACATCAATACGTTAACGAAAGAAAAAAACACTAAACTAAATAAACAAACAAATAAATCAGAACTAAAAGTTAAATAAAAATAACAAAAGTTAAGAAGCAAGTAAGCAAACAGACATCAGCCAACCAACCAACCGACTGACCAACCAATCAACTGACTGACTAACCAACCAACTGACTGACCAACCAACCAACCAACCAACCAATTAACCAATTAATCAACCAACCAGCCAACCAACCATAAATCACAAAGCAAATCTTCCAAAAAGAATTTTGAAACAAAATATAAGCGGTCAAGATGGGCCCCAAAGCACACGCCACGTTCATGGACGTTGACAGCAAGCCCCAGAAAAAATTGAAGTTAGACGGGCTGCAACCCTAGTGGACGAAATTAAATGAAAACAAAATAATAACAAAAAAAACAATTAATAATAATAAAACTGAATAATAATGATAAATTAAAATATTTATGTAAATAAAATTTATAATTAAAACCAAGCATAACACACACTGCATCTGACAGGCAGGAATCGTTTCCCAATCGAACCTGGTCACTGCAGGAGAGTGACCAGACACCTCTAACCATTACACTATCACGCCAACCAATGATGTTAAATAATGTTACTGAAGAATTCATTGATAAGCAGTTAAACAATGCAAAAATGAAGCAACAGTAGTACATTGGTAATAGTGATAATAACAATAAAAACACGACTACTAATCCTAATGGAAGCAGAAACTTCTACCAACAACAATGATAAAAATAAAAATAACAACATCATCAAAAAGAATAATAATAACAAAATTAACATCACACTGTTAAATAAATGAAAAATAATGATTGAGAACAGCAAGCTACCAAAGCCAAGTTTTACACTTAAAAGTAAAATTCAGAACAGAATTGAGAACATACATAGATAAAAAAAATTACAAATAACAAAAAAATATAATAATTTAAATTATGAAATTAATTATAGAAATTATTATGGCTTATTAAAGTTTTTTTATTCCACGTAGATGAAAGTAAGAACTTCTAGCAACAAAACAACACTTATAACTTAATAATAAAAATAATAATAATCAAAACTAAATGAATAGATATTATTGATGTTTAACTAGTCGATTACTATGTGCTTAACTTCTTGATTGCTTGCATGTCAAATAAAATTTGGAGGAAGAGAAAAAGAGAAGTATCATTGGATGTACCCTTTTAAGCATTTTGGCGCAGGCCGGCCAGCATCCTCCCTGGAGAAGTCCTTGCACGAATAGGATTATCACAAATGGCCAGGATGAATTAAAAGCTGGAAAAAAGAATTTAAAAAACTGAAATAAAATAAGGTTAAAAATCAAAAACCTTATATAAGTTCCTCAAAATACCATTGGATGAATGAATATGAAACACTGTTGAATGAAACATATATTTTTTATTTTTCTATTCGCGATAAAAGTTTTTTAAAAGGGTATATAACAAAAAAAGATTTCTATTTAATTCATGTTTTTCATTTTGAACCTGCAAGAGAAACAGTTAAAAGGCCAGAGCCAAAGAGTCCAACGCAGAAGAGGTACTTGACGTTCACTGAATCTGCCAGGATACCTCCAACAAACTTGCTGATCGTGTATGCCAGATTCTGACTACTTGATATTAGACCTTTGAAAACAATGTCAAATTTGAAAGCACAGGTTGCAAATTCATAAAATTATATTATATTATAACTATTTAATTGATCTTTTTGAATACTCTTATTATTACAAAATGCTTTCTTCATGAAAATTCAAAATCCATGAAATTATAATTAACTTAACTAATCTTTTCGAATACTCTTATTATTACAAAATGCTTTCTCTACTTTTGCTAGGTTCAATACATAGGCCAGTGTTATAAAGTTTTAAAATATCACACACACACACAAGTCTTATCAATGGCCAATAAAAATAAAATAAGTAATAAACAAACACTGAACAGAACGGTGCAAAGAATGAAACGGATGAATTAGAGACCAAAATACAAACCGGCCTCATTTTTATCAAGATGCAGACTGATCATTATGGCGGGCAGGGCAAAAGAGAAACATTTCCTATTGAAGATTGCCAATGTGTAGCCCACATACATGCCAGCGAACGACGACCATTTTAATTTAGTGGTGGAAGACGCATCTCTTTGGTTGCTCATTTTCTGACCGCCTAATAACTAATTAATTTAGTTTATATAAAAATAAATTATTTAGCAAAAACGAAACAAGAATTTAGCCACATAACAAACATCTTCTATCGCTCAGACTGTTATCATAGAAAAAACAGCAATAAATTGATTCAAACTCAATGGGTAGTACATTCATGATTATATACACTCAAATGCAAATAATAATTATCATATTTAAACACAAAAACTCGGTAATAGATACAAATTTTTTATTAAAAACATTACATAAATACAAATATTGTATCTGCAATACATTTTAGAGGTAACAAAATACAAAACAATGATTGATGGTACATGAATGGCCTTTGGACAGGTAAACCAGCCACTAACGATTGCTTCACGATAAATTACTGAGTTACACGAACTGTAAATCCACATACACACACCAAGCACACACACACACACCAAACGCAGACACACACACGCACACACCAAACGCAGACAAACACACGCACACACCAAACACACACACCACAAATACACACACAAACACACACACACCACAAATACACACACGTATGCCTACCTGCAAAAGCTCAAAGCTGTTTATTGTTGTTGTATTAGAAACACACTCACGTATAGGTAAACGTATGTTTGACTGTTATAGAGAAAAAAAACCTGATATTATTGTATAGCAATAAGATATTTAAATATCTATAGAGAGAATCATATGCGTAAGTAAGGCAATGTATTTATATATCATAGTTGCGTTTAGACATTCATAATTCAGCTTAGGTATGTGTTGAAACGGTTTATAAAAACAGAATGGATGAATGATTTTATCAAATCTAACTTTACTTTATGTACCGTTGAAAGTTGCGTGAATGTTTTCAATTATAACATCGTCTCGCAAAGGTTTAGACTTGTTCGTTTGAATTGCAGCTAACATTCGAATTATAAATAGTATAATTAAAATTTAAAAAGTATTTAATTAAATAATAAAATAATTAATGAGACTGTTAGGTCAAAACATTCAACCAAGCATCAACCTAATCGTGTTGTGTGGGAGAGTTTAAATAAATTGTAAACGTTAACTTGAAATGTTGAATCTTACGTTGCTCGTGACTCGTGTGTATATAAGATATATATAGGATAACACTATGATGAACTAAATACAGGCAAGTAAGGCAAATTTTTTACTAACTAATTAATACTATTAATTAGTTAGTAACTAATTAATACTATTAATTAGTTAGTAATAATAATTTGCCTTAATAGTAATACTACTTACTACTACAAATTTACCTAAACTGCAAATTGTTTGCTGACTGATTTTTAAGAAATAATAATATTGCTACTACAAAGTTTGATTTTAATCTTTATAATTAGTTTGTTGGTAGTTTTTAGCAGACCAAATTTAAAATATTTTTTTTGTTTTTGCTGATATTTTTAATGGTTTACACATGTCTTACTCGTTGAAGGATTTTATCAGTCATTATCAACTGCACATTCGCACGTGATGTAAATTTTGAAGAGGGCGTTACTTCACTGTTCAAAATAGGTAAGAAATTTAAATTTATGAATTTTTTCTCGTAAATTTAATCTTTGGTTCATTTTTATATTAAATCATATTTTGAAAAACTGAAAAGAATTCGGTGTAATGTTTAGCAAAGCACATATAAATTAAAATATCTAATGGTACGTGTAACTCATTGAACATGTACTTACATAAAGTGATCGATTGAATAACCTCGTCGTAATCATATGATACACGCACACGCACAAATACGTACGCACGCTTTTACGCATACATTCAGAAGCACGCATCATACAAGCTCTATGTTTGTATGCGTGTCGTTGTTTCATCAGCGTTGCTGTACCGTTGTGCAAGATATTCAGCTGAGAGGCAGCCAGCGTTGGATGTTAAAAACTGCACGCAAATGTAAATAAGATTTCATGAGTTTTGTTTAAAATGACACTTGAATTAAGCTAAAAAAACATCTAAATTTTTGTTTTTTAATAATTTTAAAACGTTCGTTTTAAGTATTTTTGTAACTTGAATTTTAAAAAAATGGTCGACGTTGAAAAAGTTGGTGAAAACCCATTTAATTCGCCGTGCTGCTCGTCTGAATATTTTATTCCCGGCAACAAAAGGCCCGAATTATTTCTGATAAATGTGAGGCTGTCGTCGAGTTCAGATGATGATGGTGAGAGCTTACAAGCTGCAAGATGTCATAAGAGGAAAGTAACAAATAATCAATTAGGGTGCGCTGAACAAGAAGATGAAATTAACAACATGAAAACAAAACTGAATTATGAGTTACATCCAAACGAAATGGAGCTACAAATTGAGAAGTTTTTGGAAAATTTTAAATATAACGGTTCCGGTTTGCTCTTTAACAATGAATCAACCCAGAGAAAAGAAGAAAAGTTCGAGACAAACAAGCCTAACATGCTAGGAAGGATGTTTCTGCCTGGACTGATCAGTCAAATTATCTTAAGCAAACCGCGCAACCAATTGAGTGGGCAAAATCCTCAACAAAAACCTTACGCAGGTCCATCTTTTAAAAATATTTCAGTACCTTTTCCGAAAACATCTCCAAGTCCGAGCGAATTAACAATTAACAAACAACCATTTAACCAATTAACCGATCAAAATAACAGTAAAAGTAACGAGAAAAATAATTTTAGAGTTTCTTGGATTTCAAACGAATCTTCGACACCAAGCTGTCCGAGGCAGAGCATCACATCACCCAGTGACAACAACTTCATAAGTAGCAGCATCACGTCGTCCATTATGTCTCAAGAAATCGAAGAAATTTCAGACGAAACTTGGGACTTCAACTTCCAGAACGATTTCTTCAACTACCCTGATCCCAAAACAAGACTTGAGTCATCCTCTGATAAGGTGTTTTCAAATGTTGGCGGATCTTTTCATGAATTTTGCTCAACGAGACCTACAAGTCAGCTCTACAGATTTATACCAAGGAGTGCTACAGCGGCTTGTCTCGTCAGATCAGGTGCTCATTTTCACTCAGAAATGTTGGGTTTAGGGTTTCGGCTTTAGATAAGAAGAAGGAAATTTTGTATTGATGAATATTTTTGATTTAATATGGCTTGTTTCGTTTGGTTTTTTCTTTGGTTTTTTAATTTTACGTTAAAAATTTATTTATTTTTTATCAGCTTCACATTTTGTTGACATTTAAACAATCGGTGCTGGGATATTAACTTAACGTTTGTTGTAAAAATGGATTTGTCAAGCGACATTCAGCCTATTAACTTTAGTTAGTTTCGATCGTTCACATTTGCTTCGTTATTACATTTTATAAAATCAATTTATAATCTTATTTCCTTTGACATTTATTTAAATATATATTAGGAATCAATTTTTTGGTATAAAATTTCAATTAATGAAAACAAACCACAGACAATGCGATGGGAGACTCAAGTTGCACGCTAACGATTTTAAATGTGGCTGAACTGCTGCAAGACAAATTTGCCTTTCTTTCAGGTTTAAATTCGGGAAACATTTGATTATTTACTATTCGGAATATGGAAAAATTTTATTTAATGTTAAAAATTTCCTCTAATACTCAAATTTGTTCTAGATTTTAAATCTGATTAATTTTCAAATGGATCATTGATATATTCAATTAAATATACATTAAATCATACTTAACACCAAACTACCCGATGTTACATTCACGTCAGGTGGCACTAGCAGACGAAACTTCAGCATTTTATCCTTCCCAGATAGTACAACACGAAGTACAGTTTCCAATGACCAGTACAGGAAAGTTGTTTCTTATCTCGCAAGTATATTAAGGTGGTCTGCTGTCATATTTTTTTTTGATTTGGTGACCATTTTTTCGACTCATTTTACCTTATTTTAAAAATTTTCAATTAAAGCTTCCATCCTGGCTCGGCTTTCCTAATTAACTTTTTTTATTTATTCAGCCCAGAAGAGTTGGAATCAGGTGTGGTGATCGTCATAGATAGAAGACAAGATAAATGGAGTTCTGTCAAGACCTTACTCATTCAAATAACTGTACGTTATTGAAGTTGTTATAGGTTACATTCTATGTGTTATATATGAGTTTTATGTTATTTATACGTTGTCGCGTTATATGCTTTACGTAAAATTTGAGAAACGAGATAGCTGAGGTAGCTGATTTTGGACTGCTATATAAATAAATAGTAATTGAGGCATTCGTTTGAAGTCCGTTTGAGTGTGCGCGCAATATTATAGAACATGCTACACTTGACGTGAATATTTTTGTTGAGTTTTTGTAGCTTTAAAATGTGTGTCTGTTTCTATATTTATATTATGTACGTGTATGTATGTATGTGTGTGTGTGTAAGTGTGTGTGCGTTAGTGTGCGTGTGTGTGTGTATTGGTAACTGTGGGTTTGTATTCTATTTATAGATGAAAAGTTTGCACAGCAAAGCAAGCAAGACAATAAAAAAACTACAACAACAAATCTGCATAGGTAGGTACACGTTCTTATTTCAAACCTAAACACTTGAAACTTCTTGAAAAGTCTTCGCTCTGAGATTCATGGTTTTCATGTTTGAAGAGTGGAATTGAAAAAAAGTTTAGACACTTTTTGAAAATTAAGACAAGTAAGAACAGTTACAGTCAATTGCTCATTTTGATTGCATGATTTAAATGAATGTTTGACGATCAAAATAATTGAATTCAATTAAGTTATCTAAAAAATTTATTGACTTTATTAAAAATAATTGGTTTAATGAAGGAAGATTTTTCAAATTATTAGTTTCCTTCAAATAACAGACTTGTTGACCACCAGTCTATAAGATTTCATTGGCAATCTCACAAAATTTAAATTAGTGCGTATGTGTGCAAGCTAAACAATATATAGCAAGTTTAACAAGGGTAAATAAATAAATGCAGATGAACTCTCAAACAAATAAAAATAATCATTAAGAAATTATAATAAACATTAAACAGCATGCAAACTAATTAAAAAAACGTGTCAATAAACCATCAAAATTCTTTAATATACATTCTCCCAATACCCTGTATAAATTCAATCCACATCTACACTTACGGATAAGATGCTTGCAATGTGTATAATGCAGTAAATTTTGAGAAAATAAAATATTCAAATATTAACTGACGGGTGTCTAAGTGCTATGCGGGTTTTTTGTTTTGTCTTTGTTTCTCTGGGAAAAAAATAGTAAAAAAATATGCAAAATATACGAAATACTCATACTACACATGTAAAGGAATTCTTCCCGGCTCCCATAGTAAAAGTGTACCTGCTAAGGCCTCTAAGTTTCCTGCAAAAGACCTTTTCCGATCCCAGTTTGAAGTTTCTGAAGGAAGAATTCCGGATTAAAGTAATTTTCATGCTTATTAATTAATTAATTAATTAAGTTAATTAATTAATCATTGGATTAAGTAAATTGGTTAAAATAGTTTATCCTTTCTTGGTTAGCACGATAAAAATTACAATTTTATTTTCACAAAATTATTTTGTTTATCATTTTTTTGTTGTTAAATTTGTCTTTTTTTTATTATCAAAGTTGTTATCGTTGTTGCTGCTGTTGCTGCTATTATTGTTGTGATTTTTTGTGGTTGCTATGGTTATATTTGTTGTTGTCAGCGTGTGTTGTTATATTTGTCGCCGTAATAGCGTGATACAATTGTTGCAAAACTTTATGTCCACACACATGTAGACTAGCTAGCCAACTTTGCGTGTGCCTTGCACTTAAATTCGAACCAATGCAAATCTGCGTACTTCTATCTTTAGAATGGTTTGTTCTCTCAAAAAACTTTCTCACCGTATTTAACAAGTCCAACTTGTTAATTAATCAATAATTAGTAGTTTTTTTATATTCTTTATGTTAGGTTTGAGCGGCGCGATAGTCTGATGGGTAAGGTGCTTGTCACTGCTATCGTAATCGCCGGGTTCAAATGCAATGAAGTACCCACCCATCATACGCAATTTGTGCTTGTGATTCCTTGAGTCACAATTGTTTACTGCGTAGACCGTGTGTGTTTTTTGCTGAAACCTTTGAGAAAAAATAAAAAAAAGATTTAGAAAAAATGTGGGAATTTAATTTTTATCGATTCCCATTCTGAAATTAAAAAGGTTTTAGTGTTGGATTCATCGGATGCCCTGCACGATTACATTGATAAGGACCAGCTTACAGTTGAGTTTGGAGGAACGTTACAGTTTAACATCTCTGAGTGGATACAGCATAGGGCCGTTAGTGGTTGTTGTGGTGAGGTTGTTGTGGTGAGGATGTTTCCGTGGTTGTGGTGCTGCTTGTTTGTGCTCGTTTGTTTGTCGATGTTTCTGTTGATGTTTGTAATGTGGTTGTTGCTTGTTGTTGCTGTCGTCATCACAGTGTGATAATGTTGGATGTTGTTTGTTGATGTTGTTTTACACACACGCGTGCACACACACACACATTTGCACACACACACACGCACACACTTATACACATACTTACAATGAAAACAGGCTCTTGAAAAGTTCTCAGCTAATACAACTCATCTCAATAAAACTTTAAGATCCATTTGTAAGGTTGGTGACGATGATTACGACGAGAATAAGTCAATGATGATGATGTGGATGTTGAACTTAAGGATTTCAAATGGACTAAAATGTTTAAAATCGCAATAAAAAGCGACAGTTACGACAAAAACAGCTACCAAAAACAGCCACAGCAATTACCAACAACCACACAACAACCACCAACAACAACTTCCACACAACAGCAACCACACAACAAACAACAAAAACAGGATTTAGAGGAAAGAGAGTTCCCGAACGACGTAACTCAAACGGAAGTCCTCATACACGATCATGATACGGTCCGATCTGAAATCAGAGAGGACATAGAGTCGACCATCAAACATGGCAGAGCTCTACTGGATTGCTTCCAAGGAAATGGAAATCCTGGAAAGAGTAGCGACGGAGACAGTGGGATAATCGTCAGTGGAGTCAGTCACGAAAATAGTCCGTTGAGTATCCATCTAAATGAGATCAGTCATATTGGATATTTGGAAGATAGTAATGTGGATGGTGACTGTAAAGGCACTTCGAAAGCCAGGATGGCGCATATACAGGCTGCTGAGAGGTGTGTGTAGTTAAGTGTGTGCACATGCGTGCGCGTGTGTGTATCTGTGTGTATTAGTGTGCGTGCGTACGTGCGTGTGTGTGTTCTTTTTTTTTATTTCATTATTATTATTGTTGTTGTTGTCGTCAAAAAATATGTTTTTTTTCCAAAACAGGTTACTATTAAAACTGGAAGAAACCTCTAGAAACTTTGAGATGTATTGGAATATGCACAAGACCAAGTTAGAGCAGTGCCTGCAGTTGAGGAAGTTCGAAGAAGACTTTAAACAGGTGACTATAAATATTATTTTACGATAATAGAAATTATTTTTATAACAAAATGATTAATTAAATTATATTAAAATTATAATATGTTGGAATCTAAAAAATAATTTTTAAAAATTCTTCTTCAGCTACAATTCTCCTGCGACAAACACTTGAAGTACCTGGAATCCTTGCCAACGAATTGCGACTCTCTCGCTCAAGCCCTAGATCTCAAATCTGACCTTTTGAACTTTGAATCCCTTTCAAAGGTCATTTCCAGATTTCACTTACGTTCTGATCTTTTTTATTATTTCTTCTTATTTCGTCATATTTCAATGTAAACGTCCAATCAAATTGTTGAGGTTATAATGTTTTGGAAATCTTTTGGTTTTTGTCGTTGTCATGTTAAAACTTTATGAAATCACACACACATATACAAACAAACAAACAAACACACAGACACAGAGACAAACACACAGAAACACACACCCACAAACAAACATACACACAGACGGACGTAGCCAGGGCAAATTTGTTGAAATACCGAGGTGGAAAATTCATCTCGGAAGACCACTACGCTGTTGATTGCATCAAGCCAAAGTGTTTGGAACTGGAAAGGATCTGCCAGGCCTATGATGAACAGTTGAAAAGTCGTCTCAATTTGGTGGAGAAGATTATCGATCTCTTCAACTTTGTCGATAAGGTTTTTTCAAGAAATATCATTTCATTAAATTTTTTACGATTCATTTTATTAATTTTCGTTAAATTTTTTCTAATATTTTTAAAGTAAATATCACTGATTTGTCTAAAAATATTTTGTAATTTTTGTGATCTGTAGTTTTTTTAAAGATTTTTATAAAATTATCGGAATAAACTTTTATTCATTCATCCATTTGTTCGTTTGTTTATTTCTTCAATAATTCATTTATTCATTCATTTGTTCGTTCATTCATTCGTTCATTCATTCATTCATTCATTCATTCATTCATCCATTCATTCATTCATTCATTCATCCATTCATTCAATTTATATAATCATTTCTTCAATAAAAATACAATTTCATTCTTTCATTCAATCATCACTCTTCAATTCCTCCGCCAACCAGGTGAACAAATGGTGCACCAAATGTTTAGACTTGCTTACTTCTTACCCCATAAACAACGTAAACAACAACAACAATGACGTCACAAGGGCTGACCACCCCCTCCACCTCCAGAGCAACGACGATGATGACGTCAAAACTCAGCCACCTGATCATTTGCTGGCACAAGTCGACGAGTTACTCGCCGACTATTACAACGACCAAAACATGAGAGACACCAAAGAATTTTATAACAATCACGATGACGTCATCAAACACCAGTTAAAAGTAAAAACGAATTTTTGTTGTAAAAATGGATTTGTCAAGCGACATGACGTCAGAGTGACGGCGAATTTTTTTTTACACATTTTTGTTCCGGTTAATTCTTTCTAAGTCTAGTAAATTTAAGTTTTGAAAAAAACACACGAACGCACAAAAACGTACGCGCGCGCACAACACACACACACGTACGTAAACAATTTTTTATACACATGTTTAAAATCATTCATTCATTCCTACAAACACACACATGCATATGAATACACATTCTCACACGTACGAACACAAACGCATGAATTTTATTGACACACAGACATACACACACACAGACACACACACAGACATACACACACACACACACAGACACACAAACAGATACACACCCACACACACCACGAACTCCAGGACCAACTCGATGAAACGATCCTGAAGTTAAACGACACGAACGACATGCTGCAAAAATTCAAACAACAACTTCACGCGCAAATTAACAACAACAACAAAAACAACAACAACAATAACAACAACAACATTAATAATAGCAATAATAGTAAGAGAAAAAACAGCGGGAAGAACAAAATCAAAAACAATTCAAAGAGGAATAGCTTAAATGATGATGATGCTAAACAAACGGACGACTACAACAGCAACAACAACAACAACAACACCACCACCACCACCAACAACAACAATAGAAAAAACAGCCTGATAGACATTATAGGCATCAAGATAAACAGCTTAACGGATCACAAACACAACAACGATCACGTGACGAATGACGTCAGCAGAAATAACAACAATAATAACAAAACGAATAATAACAATAATAATAACAGTGGTGACAGTAATAATAATAATAATAATCGGCGAAAAAATAGTCTTATCGATATTTTGGGCATTAAAAGAAACAGCTATAACGAGGACAAAAATGACAACAACAACAACAACAATAACAACAATGACAACAGCAACAACAACAATAATAATAATAATAACAATAACAGCTGCAAAAACAACACAAATATCAAAATTAATAAAAATGTTGACGAATCGGATAGCTGCTTGAACGCTTCTCTCAAGCTATCAACAAACAACACTAACAACAACAACACTAACATCAACAATAACACTAACAACAACAACACTAACATCAACAACAACACTAACATCATCAACAACAACAACACTAATATCAACAACATTAACAACATCAACAAAATTTCTGACAGCAAAAGCCCCAACGACATCAACAACAACATTAACGTGATCGATATGAATAAATTAGACGGCGATCTTCAAAATGAAGTCAACAAAACTAAATCAACAACAACACCGACGGCAACATCTGCATCTGCAATAATGACGTCACCAACTACAACAATGACACCGTCAACAACAACAACTACGACAACATCACTACCGCCAACAACATCAGCAACAAAACCGATTGTAACAGTACACCCTGAAAGAAATTTTCACACAACTACATTAACCAGCACTAATCACAGTAACAACAACAACATCAACCACAACAACAACAACAACATCAACAACAACATCAACAACAACATCAACAACAACAACATCAACAACAACGACATCAAGAACAACATCAAAAACAACAGCTCATTCTCAACGTTCTCCGCTTCAATGATGAACCTGTCCTCATCATCATCATCATCGCCATCACCTTCATCATCGTCGTCATCATTTTACCCAGCAGCATTCAAGATGCAGGTGAAGATGAATGGATCGCTGGCAGAGGAGAGCATTCCAGAAGAGACGCCTAAGCTCAAGAAGAAGTTCAGCCTGAAAGCTAAGGTAGAAAAAGATGGCTTTATTATTAATTTTACTGTCATGTGTTGTTGTTTTTGTTGTAATTATTTGTAGGAGTGCTTCATTTTAATCAGTAAGTTGTTGTTGTTGTTGTTGCTATCAATTTTAATGCTATCAATGCTACCTAACCCTAACCCAACCCTTAGCCGAAATATTTAACTGAAACATCCTAATTAATAATTAAGACCTGACCTAATTACGTAGCTCCAAACGAAACGTCCTAATTAATAGTCACAACCCGGCCTAATTGCGTAATTTCAATTGGAACATCCTAATTAATATTCACAACCTGACCCAGTTACATAATGTCGAAAAAATTTTAAATAGAGCAAGCTGGAGAGGTCACTATCACGTAGCATCCAGGATCTTAGTGCGTTCAAGCAGTTGGCTAGGAAGAATTCACTATTCAGTAAAGACGACAATGAGAATTATCAGAACAGGAGGAGGTTATGATAATGATGACGACGACGATGGTGTGGTTGTGATGATGATGGTGGTGTGGTCGTGATGGTGATAATGATGATGGTGGCGGTGTGGTTATGATAATGATGATGGTGGTGGTGATGTAGTTTTGATGGGATTGTGATTATGGGATTGTGAAGAGGTCGTACGTACAATTTTCATAGTAGTTTTTGATGACGACGACGACGATGATGGGTGATGAAATTAGATAATATAATTATTATAATATATATTATTGGTAAACCATATATATATATAATAAACTTGAAATGCAGTGAACTGATGAAAGAGATATTGAAAAGCGAGAGAGAGTATGTCGCTAACTTACAGCTTGTCAATCAAGTATGTGTGTGTGTGTGCGTGTGGTGTGTGTCTGTGTGTGCGTGTTATTTGTGTGTCTGTATGACACATAACATCATATAAATAAAGTCATCATTTTCGCATACACTTCTCCATTCAACACACTAACAAAACAACACCCATTGTTGTTCGTTATTGTTAGAAATATTGTTATGATTATTATTATTTGTTCTTCTTCTTATTATTGTTATTATTTCTATTTGCGAACAATTCTGCAAATGCTTAATTTCATTCTTCTTATAAAAAAAAGACAATAACTTTTTTATTACAACAACAAATACTACGAATGCTGTTACTACCACTACTACTACAACTACTACTACCACTACAACAACTACTACTACTACTATTACTACTACTACTACAACTACTACTACTACTATTAATACCACTACAACTACTACCTCTACTACCATAAATATTTTTACTTCTGCTGCTACTACTGCTACTACAACTACTTCTAGTACTACTACTACAATTACTGCTACTGAACTGAATAGCTAACATTAACTGAACTGAATAACCAAACAGCTACTGTATAGTAACTGATAGTAGTAATTCTAATATTAGCTAACAAACAGTAAATACTACTAACCCAAATGAACACTAACCGTCATTTATCTACTGCTATATTTCTACATTGTTATATTTATTACATTCAAACACTTTATAAGACCTAGGCGTTCTACTGTTTTTAAGTAACACGCAATGCAGGTTTCATCATATGCTTCTGATGATTCCCATAAATTACTTATGCCTAATATTATTTTCAGTATCACAGGAGCACAGTACTGTAAGATAACTACTAATTAGTAGTAGTTGTTGTAGTTTTATATCATTCTAGTTAGCGATATGCCTGATGGAATACTGATTACAAATTTTGCTAACATTTTACAATAGCAACCAGTTTATAACTTCATTTTTTTGTATAATTTTTTGACTAATGCTGAAACACTTTGAAAGAGAAAATAAACAAAACACACACGCACACACATATATACATCATAAATATCATCATATACATATATACACATAACATAACATACAATTACTCACAAACCAATACACACACACAAACAGCACTACATTAGCGTCATGAGGTCTGACGTCATGAAAGCGTCACTCCCGGAAGATGTGGCGGGAAAAGAGGGAGAACTCTTTGGAAACTGGGAGGCTATTTATAAATTTCACAATGAGTAAGTAAATGATGAGGATGACGATGATCTCTCTCTCTCTCTTTATCACCTACTTATCATAATATAAAAATAATATTATTATTAATAATATAAAGAATAATAATAATAGATGACGATGATGATGATGACCCTTTTTTTTCTCTCTCTCTTTCTCTCTCTTCCGTCTCTCTTTCTTTCTTTCTCTATTTTTTGGTTTTAATCTTTTGTCAGAATATTCTTGAAAGAGTTAGAAAGCGCCCAGTACATGGATTCAGTGTGCGTTCTGGCGTCATGTTTCGTCACCCATGTTAGAGTTGTTATAAGAGTGTGAATGAGTGAAATGAGTGAATGAGAAATTGAATGAATTAATGAGACATTAAATGAATGAATGAATGAGACATAAATGAATGAATGAGATATTAAATGAATGAATGAGAAATTTAATGAGTGAGTGAATGAATGATGAATGAATGAATGAGACATTAAATGAATGAATGAGACATTAAATGAATGAATGAATGAATGATTGAATGAACTAATGAATTAACGAAGGATTGAATGAATTATGATTATATTCATATTTGTTAAATAGATAGGTCACAGAATGAATGGATAACAAAATGAACGAAAGAATCAATCAACAAAAATGAATGAATAAAAGAATGAACGAATGTATAATTATTATATTATATTATTATCATAATAATAACAATTGCTTTAATTATTATAAGATGCACGATACAATCATAATTACAGATTGACGAGCTGACGAAATACTACTTAACTTACTGCCAGAACAAAATGACGTCAGAGGAACTCTTGAATCGAATTCTACTTTCTGACTTTTTAAAAGTGAACTTCGCATAATTCAAATCAATGATTTTTATAAATCTTGTTTTGTAGACCTGTGTTGCATCTGATATTTCATTTTCTGAATAAATTGTCTCACAAATTTCAACAAGAAAAACAGTTATACACGGCGTATTGAGAACATAATAATACACACAACACATAATACATATTTTTATATTTTATATATTTTATATATTTTTATATTTTATATATTTTTATATTTTATATATTTTTATATTTTATATATTTTTATGTTTTATACATTTTTATATTTTATATATTTTTATATTTTATATATTTTTATATTTTATAATTTTATTCATATTTCTCAAAAGAACTGCCAGAAACGTTCTGGAGTGAATGATTGCTTGGACGGGCTGCTGAGCAAACCTGTCCAACAACTTCACATCTACAACAACTTCTTAAAGGTTTTTGGTTGCTATTTTTATATCGTGTTACTCACACGCACACGCACACGCACGCACACACACACACACACACTAAAATAAACAAACAAACACACAGACACAAACACAAAATTACTCGAAAATGCACGAAATATGCAGGGATCTTATTGCATTCAATTCTTCATTCATTTTACAAACATTTATTCATTGGTTCGTTCATTCATTCATTCATTCATTTTACAAACATTCATTCATTGGTTCGTTCATTCATTCATTCATTCATTCATTCATTCATTCATTCATTCATTCATTCATTCACTCATTCATTTCCAGGGCCTCTTAAAGAACTGCACAACTGACCAATCAAACGAGATGACCAAAGAGGCTCTTGATTGTATGGCCAAACTTTTGAGAAACTCCAACGAAGCCCTCAACTCTATTTCTATACGAGGATTTCAGGTGTGTGTGCATGCGTGTGTGTGTGTATGTGTGAGCGTGTGTGTGTATGTATGCGTGCGTGTGTTGGTTTGTTTGTATATGTGTGTGTGTCTGTTTGTTGTATATATGTATATATATATGTATATATGCGTGTGTGTGTTTGTTTGTCTGTGTGTGTTTGTATGTGTCCGTGTGTATTTTTATAAGCGTGTTCTGTTTCACTCATCTTCATCTCGATCACCATCATCGTCATCTTCCTCACCATCACCTTCATCACCACCAAAAAAGGGTGACGTGAGAGCGGGAGGCAAGCTAATTAAAAGGGGAACCTTCCAGGTGACGACTGACGGCAGCAGTAGCGGTGGTAGCAGCAGCAGAAGCCACAGCTTTTTCAGATCGAAAACAGGATCAGCCAGGCATGTACTCATGTACGAAAACTTTGTCATTATCTGTAAGGAGAAGCTGGAAGTCGAAGGAAACGTCAGGACTAATTTTGAATTCAAGGCCTTGTTGCCTGTAAGTTGTGTGTGCGTGCGCGCGCGCGCGCGTGTGTGTTTTCTTTTCTGTAATTTATAATGCAATTACTCTGATAAGATGATGTAACTAATGCAGATGTCTGAACTGGCTCTGATGGAGAACGTGAAGAATGATAAGAAAAAGTTCAAACTATCTCTTTACGGGACAACTGAGTCGTTCACGTTCGCTGTTAGTAATTGTAATCGCCTTTCTTCTGTTTTTCGCCTGACTTTCTGCTTTGTCTTGTCTGCGCCGAAAGAATTATTATTAAATTTTGTTATTTCTCTTCTTCTTCTTCTACTTCTTCTTCTTCCTCCTCCTCCTCTTCTTTATTATTATCATTATTATTCTTATTATTATTTTCTCTCAGGCACCAACGAGTAACATCAGGGATATGTGGGTGTCTGAGATTAAAAAAATTCTCCTTGGGCAGTTCGAACAGATCAAAGGTCTGTGAAAATTATTATTTCTATTTTTCTGAATACTACTACTACTGCTGCTACTACTGCTACTACTACTACTACTACTACTACTACTACTATAATAATATTAATAATAATAATAATTTTTTTCTCTTTTATAGCGGATAATGTGAACTTTTTTTTCGGCCGTCAAGATTCCAAGATAAGGTATCCATAATTCAATTTCGGTTATCCTAACAATCAATTATTCGACCTTATTTGTTTTGTTTATTCATTCACTTGTTTGTTCATTCATTTCTTCACTCCTTCACTCGTTCTTACACTTTTTCATTCATTCATTCACCCATTAGATTAATCAAATATTTAACCGTGAAGTTACAAAAATGTCGAAAATAAATTGCAGTGAAATTGAAAATAAAAAAAGGATAAGAGTATTAATTAAAATTTGTATTATTGTTATTATTAATATTATTATATAATTAATTAATTAAAATAGTAATTAATTAATTCAAACTACTTAAACAGCACTGATTCGAAGTTTGACTGGTCCAAATCAATACCTACAACTGACCCATGTAATAAGGTGAAGTTCCAAATTCATCAGTAGTATTAGTAGTAGAGTAGTAGTAATAATTAGAGTAGTACTAGTTGTTGTTGTATTAGTAGTCGTAGTAGTAGCAGCAGATTTAGTAGTAGCAACGGCAGTAGTAGTAGTAGCAGTAGCAGCAGCAGAAGTAATTTTTATGACGGAATACTTATGATAATGACAAAGATGACAATAATACACTCTTATTCTTAATTTAAACCAACGATAATAAAATCTCACAGAATCTGCTAAGCAGAACTTTCATAATCAGCTGCGATCACCAAGCTCGCCGACCGGACGAACTATCGGTAGGCAAGGGAGCTGAAGTTGAAATTGTTGAAGTTGGCGATGAGGGTTGGTGTCTGGCTAGAGAGGTTTTGAACCCTGTTAATGAGGGCTGGCTGCCCACCCATCTACTCAGACAAGAAAGGACGTAGGATTGAAAGGGTTGTAAGATTGACGTGTAAGATGGCGTTTAATGTTTTTGATTTGGTTAATTTTTTCAGTTAATTTGTTTAGCAGCTTTTGAAATTTTATTTCATCCGTTTTTCCTTTAACAAATTTCATAAATTTGCTAATTTTGTGTTAAAATAAATTTTAATTCAAAGTTGAAAAACATTATTCAAACATCAAAATTTAAATTCTTGTTTTCAGAAAGTTAACGAATCAAAATCCCGACGAAAACCGCCGAAAATATTCACCACAAAGAAAAGCACTGTTATTTAGATAATAAAAACCTTTTTTTGAATACATTTCATCACGTTAGTCAGTATCAAACATCGAAACACAGGGAATTAGCAATTTAAATATAGGTGGCAACCCATAATCACAAACATTACACCAACAATGCTAGAACTCATATACTAGACCAGGCAACTTGGATAACTATATTTTATATCCTAGTATCTAAAAACTATCAAACCTTTCTCTTACCTAATACTAATATGGGTTGTATTAAATGAAATAAAGTACCCATTTGTGTTAAATAAATATGTAGATAGAACATATATAGAAATGTATAAACCATTTATATTTAAACTGATGTCATTCATTGTGTAAAAGTTTGAAGAGCCAAAAAATGTCAGGCTTTGTCTGGTTTTCCTATTGGTTATTGTTGAGATCTAACTGGCATCTTTTATAACACTGTTGTTAATTTTTAAATTATTTAAAATTTGAATTTTATTTATCTATTTGTTTTTGAGTTTTTTTTGATAAGCTTCTAACGAACCAATATTTTTTGCCAACTTTTGTGAAAATTTCGTCAGAATGGGTTCTTAATATGATTAGCTTAATTTTTCTATTACAATTTTTTGTGAAATGGAACCAAATCTATAATTAATGATGATTAAAATTTGAATGTGATACAAAACAAACTTGTCCATTTACCTAATTCCACAATTTTTTCATTAACACGCACGTTTTTTTAAACTTTTTCTCAAAAAAATCCAGTAAAATACATGCAAATAAGTGTTTACGTTAATTGTAATATTAAATAATTTAACACTAATTAATTCCTGTATAGATATTTCTCCAGTATTTTTTAATTATTTTTGAATTTTAATTGAAAATTGAGGTCTAAAATTAGACAATGATCTGATAAAGTACATAATTGCATTTTCATTGAATTCTTATTAAGAATATTTTGATCCGTATTATAACACATCTGACTACGAATCAGTTATTAACACTATAGTAACACACGCACCACACAGAGAGAGAGAGAGAGAGAGAGAAAGAGAGAGAGAGATACACACACACATACTCACACACATATTTTCATATCTATACACTACACCTCTTTTAATGAGCCGACAGTTGACAAGAAAGATTGTTAGTATATCCGTTAATAAAACTTGAATGAGATTTTGAACATATACAGACACACACACTCACACACACACAGATACACACATACAGATAAAAACTGTTAGAATTTAACAAAAAAAAACATTCCATTACAATTCATGATACTGAAATCCAAAAACTGTTGCATCACTTATGCTAAAAAATTGTTTCGCTAATTATTGTAATTTTTAAAAAACACAATATTATTTATTTAATTAATTAATAATTAGAACCACATTGTTCTCACTTTTGTTACATATTTTTTTTCCTGTAATGAATTTTTTATTTTGACGAAAAAAATTCTTAATAAAGTAATGTTTTATTTTCAAACTATGCCTTCAAAAACAACATTTACTAATTAGCATGTAACCAACTAAGATACATTAACTATGGATGAAATCATAACAAATTTCCATAGTCTAAATCAAATAGTTAATAAATTAAATTGATGACTTATTTGTCTAATCATTCATTGATTCATACATACATTCATTCATTCAGTTAATCCGCCATTTATTCATTCATTCAATCAATCAAGCATGCATTCGTTCATTCACTCAATCATTCATTCATCCAATCACTTGGTTCATTTATTTAACAATTTATTTGATTAAATCCCCAATTAAGCAGCATCGATATATTTTAATTTCCCGACTTATAAACTCGAATAGGAGGACTCTAACTTTTTAATTTCTGAGAACCGAACGATTTTTAAAACCTCTGTCGTAGAAGTCATCACCTTCCTTATCTGAGATACTATCCTGTAACTGTGGAGAAATAATTAAATAAGTAATAAAAATACAACACACACACGCACGCACACACAAATACACGCACACATGAACATGTATTGTATTTATGTACGTACGTATGTATGTATGTATGTATGTATTTATGTATGTATGTATCTCTGTACCTATGGAAAGAGCACGAAGTTACCCATGTACAAAGACAGCCTTAAAGAAAATGAAAAAATGTGGTTCAGACCCCAAGGATTCGACGAAAACAGACACCTATACTATCGCCCTAAGCGGCGATAGTATAGGTGTATGAATCTGTGGAACATGTGCATGTTCGTCAAGTAAAGGACTTTTTGCTGATTCTAGGACTCACAACTGACCCTACTACATCGCCGATTGGACGATGTATTCCATACTAATCTACATAGTAATTATGGTCTTTTACCAGCATTCACCTATGTATGTATGTTAAAACCAAATCAGCGATGAGTGACACTAAACAGTCAAACATCTGAATAAAATCGGTTAACAATTGATATCTCGTTATTCGCTCACGTCGGCGTTTAATTGAACATTTTCGGTAACACAGACGCGCAAAAACCTTTGCAGCAAACAAGATATATGATTCATGGCGAAAAATAGCTCTCTGCTGTCGCCGGACCTGCCACTTATCATTTAGCAAATTTTTTTAAAAAATATTGAAGTATGTATGTATGTACAGTACAGGCATGTGTAAACACATTTTGTAAAAAAAACTAGACTAACATTATAAACGGGTGGCTTTGAACCGTATATATTCCAGCCATGCCTGTTCTCCCAAGTCTGATGAGAAAGTTATTGATATATTAAATTATAAAAATGTATATTAAATTATAATTCATCCTAATAATATTTCAAATTTTGGTGAATAAAAAATTGTACCATTAATAATTAAACATTTAAAGTTAAAATACAAATAACAATAAATTAACAAAGGCAAAAAAATATTTAAAAATCATCTATGAAATGATTTCTAAAAAATATATTGAGATACTAAACAGCTAATCCTAAAAACTAATAAGTAAACCACACAATTAATAAATAATTAATTAGTTAATTAATTAATTGTACAATACAATGAATTTAATCATAATTTAAATTTAAAGCATACAAACACCACAAAAAATACATACATTATAGTTGTACTTCATATGGTAATAAATACCATACCCTATACCTATTGCAATGGCAAACTTTGGAACAAAAAATCTTCCAGTGAAAGCCCTACTCTCACCCTGGTAATTTTTAAATATTATGTTTAAGATATTTTCAAAAGATTATTTAAAATTAAATTGATTACCTAATATAAATAATAGTTTTTTGAAACCAACTAATTTTTTTAGAAAGTTGAAATAAAACATTTAATCAATGATTATTTTTAATAAGAAGTTGATAATGCAGTGTTTTAAGATTCTAAACTTCTATAAAAAAAAGATAGTTTGAAGCCACTAAATATAGAATGATTTATTTATTTATTATACATACAAATTATAGACTGTCTATATAATAAATATACTATAGTATATATATAATATATATATATATATATGTTGGTAATAGACCATAATTTTTACAATATTCTATAAATTCTACCTAATGTTTGGCGTTAATACGTTTGTAGTTCGTTTTTTTTTATTTTTCTCACCAAAAAACTTTAGTGAGAAAAATCAAAAAAACGAACTATAAACATATTAACGCCAAACATTCAGTAGAATTTATAGAATATTGTAAAAATATATATATATATACTTTATATAATATACATTTTTGTTGCACATAAGTTATGAGATCTAAATATGATTATTTATTTTGAACTTATGAACCAATTATTTTGGATAAATTAAAAAACATGATAAAAGGGAAAAAGCTGGTATAATTTTACTATAATAGACTAGCTAAGAAGTAAGAAACATTTTTTTATAATTTAATAAAAAATTTATATAATAACTATAATATAATAATATATATTATATACTACTATAGTATACTTTTATTTATACTGTATACAACATACATAAAGTTCGTTATAAATTCATGAAAATTTGTAGAGTGAAGTTAAATTCTTAAAAATACCAACAATTATAGGTTTCAAGACATCAAAGAAGACATCCCAAGGCTTGCCGAAAAATCTCCTGAACGCATTCCTGGGGTACAATTCCGGGATGAAACGAGGTTCGTTGGGGGAGAGCACCTGATCGGCGAGCCACTGTTTCCTCAGGAACCTGTCCTCGGCCGTCATCGGTTCTGCCAACCTCTGCCTGGGAAAGGGCATGTGCTCGATGTTGAAGGGGACTATCTTGTTGCCTCTCCAGAGGTGATGGCGCTGCATCTTAGCCTCCCTGTCAAAGCTCTCCTTCAACTTTTTATTGAATTTTTCAATGGCCTCACTGTCCAACTGAGCGATAGTTTTGTCGCCATCGTTTGAAGGAGCCATTTTTATGGGAGGTGGTGGTAGTGGTTATCTCTCGTCTAACTTTCCGTGAGGTGCCGATAATCTAATTCACCTTGGAGCTGTGAGAATAGTTACGTTGATAAATAAGTAAATAATAGAGCAGGTAGACTTTTAAGTATGGAAGGTTGTTATGGTGTTTGTGTTCTTTGCGCGTTTATGATGGATGAGTTTTTTGTTAAAAAATAATATTGAAACATCTTTCAAGACAATCATTTTAATTCAAACAAAATAGGATCAAACAACAGATTGTCACGTTTAGAGACAATGTTAACACTCATTGATTGGATTCAAACGCTACCTGTTCCAAACTCTCAGAGAAAAATATTAATTTTGTGGTGCCTGCGTGAATGTACGTTTAAATTAAGGGTGTAAAGTTGGTTTCATTTTAGTAATCGAGCAATCGGCTTATAATTTTCAACAAAAAATATCGACTTCTGTTGATAATGTAGCAAGATGGATGTCAGCTAATAACTTGGCATTAAACGTTTTGAAAACACAACACATAACATATCTGGCTAGGTACCCCACAAAGATTTAGTTTACTGAACAATTTCACGTCACCGGTGAATGATCTTGGTGTGATGTTGGATTCACGTCAATCATTGGAAGATCATGTAAAAAATATCTGCTGGAAATGTTTCTATCAAATTCATAAAATCAGAACTATCAGACGTTTTCTCATTCGGAAAGAAAAATAAACGCTTGTTCACAGTTTTGTCTGTAGTAGAGTTGACTTCTCCAACTCGATAATGTATGGAGTCAAGTTATTTCTACAGGACTGTGTTCAATCAATAGTAAACGCGGCAGCAAGAATGTTAGCCGGCCTTTCAAGTCTTTCTCTATTTTGGAAACGCTATATACAAATTTTGATACCGATACTGAATCGGATAAAATATTCGATTATTTTTTCGGTTTTGACAATCTTATTTTTGGAACTTTCTCACACCATTTTCTTATTTAAATTACAAAACCTAATCATACTGCCAAATTTTCTTTTTAAAGTACTCGGAACTAATAAAGCATCCGAACTCGATTACCTTTTTGTACTCCTTCGTAGTACATTAAGCAGAACCTAATGCAAACGCGTGTGTGGTGCAAACGTCTTGAGGCAACGACGTTTATAAATTCGGTGGTACACAAAATTTTTGTATATCTCAAGAAAGAAAGATTTTAAGCAGGCTTGCATTTATTGAAGCGGCTAATGAGAAACTTCTATAATCACATTGAATACCATCTGTTTTATTCCTATGGCTATAACCACTGCTTTTATAACGCATCAAAAGTTTATAATCAAAAACTTTACTTCATATAATTTGCACTAACAGGCTTTTCATGTACGAAATTATATTATCCGGCATTTATTTCTGAAGAGATTGGAGAAAAATTCAATCAACGGGAGTTAACTGTCTCATCATTTATTCAGCACCGCATTTGCAATCAGCGACGCCATCAACATAACGTTAAAAAGAACAATATTACGTACTATATAAAGGTAAAATTTTAGCAAAATATTTCAGATAACAGTTTAAATTATTAATTTTCATACATAAAATAAAACGTTTCTTGGTAATAATTGTTCGTATTTTTAATTTATTGGAAACCGCTGGCATAACCACACCCATAAATGGGTATGAAATGGAGTGAAAATTGTATTTAAAATTCACCTCAGCAGCCCTAAGCCCTGACGCGGCGAGGCACATAAAAAAAAAATTGAATTTTATAACTTACAGATTACGTAATCCTGAAACTTACAATTGCATTAAAGTGGCGAGTAACTTGTGCAGTCTAAATTGAAAAAAATTAGGTTCTTTAAAAATTGGTTTTACAGCTCTAGCCACCGCCAAATATTTCGGGGCCCACAAAAAAACTATAAGAACCTCCACAAATAAATAGGGACTTCTATACTCCTTCTTTGCTGTCCAGAACCTCTATAGGTATTGATATATTTAAATAATATGAAAGAAAACAGAAATAAAAATTCATGGTGGCACTAGAGATTGCTGAAGGTGAATAAAAAAAGAACCTTTCCCATTTTTACGGCGAGTTTAGCGTGATGTGTGTTAGTTGCACAGTCGGTTTGACATAACAAGCAAGGAATAAATAATTTCATTTGAGAAGAAACTATCAAAATATGTACTGCCCTTGGCACGTGATCGGCCAGCTCATGAATATTAATGAGACGCCAATGACCAAAAAACTGTAAATAACTCAGAAGAGTTTTATTTTTTATTTTTTTATCAAACTTCCGCTATGCGACTGTTAGTTTCGGAAGGTATTTGTGTCATTTGTATTTGTATTAAAATGTGTTGCATGTGCGTTTGTATTTGACGGTGCGTATGTCTGTGTGTATATGTTTGTGTGTGTGTTGGTATGTGTGTGTATGTGTGGTGTATGTTTGTGTGTGTTTATGTGTGTGTGTGTGTGTGTATGTATGTGTGTGTGTATATATATTTGTATTGGAAGGTATGGCGTTCTTACTATGAAAGGTGTGTTTAGAATGGATGATTAGCAGCTGCCAACATTTTGGATGGAAAGAATGGTGAGAACCAACCAATATTTTGGAACATCAAAACGTAAGCTTCGATGTCAGTGATTTTTTTTTTTACTGAAAATTATTTCAAAAGTTTTCTTGTTCTCTTCCGCAGGGCAACTTATTTGTTGCATTTTCATAATTTAACGTGCAGGCAAACTCTATTTTAAATGGGTAGCTGTGAATAGAATATTTGTTAGATTATGTATGTAACTTAAAATATAATTACATATAAGTAACTTCGACAGAGTCTCAAAATACAAAGAGAAAACAAAATGAAAATGACAATTGTAATGTATTAAAAACTGAAATTCTACGAGTAATTCACCTAAATAATGTTTTAAGGGTAGTTGTGAGTGGATATTTGTTGGAAAATTTTTATTTTAACATGTTTTCTGTGACATTCCTTGTTTTGTCTTGTCGTGTTGCAATCAAATTAATCAGGGAAGGTAGGATCAATCCATTAAGTTTCAACGTAGCTGGTACATAAAATAGAGTTTGCTTCGCGATAGGTAGATTATTCAGTTAAGAAGATTTACAGAGCCAATTAAAATTGGAGTTAAATAAACTGAGTTAGATTAAATAATAAACTTACATATTTACTTGAAATTTAATATTAACTCTCTAAATTTAAAATCGTGATCTTGAAATTCAAGAAATTATACATTAACCTTATATAAATACAGTTCGTTGCCGTTTCTTGGGGTCAGATGTTTGTTTATTCCATACACACCTGTTTTTAAAACGTTTAGAAAATGATTAATGAATATTAAATGATAAGAATCAAATAATTTACAATTTGAAATTTAAATTTTCATCCTCGACTACACCTAAAATTTTTTTAAATTCGCTAACAGTCTCCATCAACCTCTGTTAACAACATTCAAAACATCAAAACAATACCAAACAATAAAAAAGAAACAACAATCAAAAGGTCATTGAACAACATCAAAAACATCAATACTAACCAAATTACCAAACAACAATAAAAAAAATCATCAACATCAACAAACAGCATCAATAATCCTAAAACCAAATATAAAAACAACGTAGCGTTGACAAATTTAATGGAAAAACAGACAGACACCACCAGACCAGCCAGACAGCCAGTCAGCCAGCCAGACAGCCAACCAATTAGCGCATCACACACACACACACACACACACACACACACACACATACAAACACAGACACACACACACACGTACGTGCATGCAAAACTCCATAAAAAAATTCCTCCACATATAAGAAAGTTCAACACGGCCAGCCATCATGCATATTTAATGCACTTCTACATTTTTATGTCCGCGCACTAATCTGTTGTCCGTATATAACTGCACTGCTTATTTGTATAAATATCTATCATCAAACACGCACACGCATACACACATTCACACATACACACACACCGATTCACACACACACATACACGCATTCACATACTCACATACACACACGCATTTACTCAAACATACACACATATACACAAACACACAAACAAATATCCACACAAACACATGCACACTCACATCTTAAGGAAAAAATAGTTTTTTCTTATTATTGCGCATAAATACATACCTAATGCGCTATTATCTACTTTTCAAAATTATCAATTTTTTTCTACCCAAATGCCTATGTTTTATGTTTTTATATTTGTGCGTGTGTGTGCGCGCGCGTGTGTGTGTTTATGTGTGCGCGCGCATGTGTGCGTGTGAGTCTGTGTGCGTGTATGCGGCGTATGGCGTATGGCCTAATACTAATAATTGGAAATGTAACCTTCATCATCGTCTTAATCATAATTTTTATCATCATCATCGTCGTAATGGTTGAGTTAAATCACAACAAAAGATATTAAATACATGACTTCCGGAAAGCATTTCCGGCGTTTTCTCTGTAGCAACTGAGCTGGGAAATGTTGAATATCATGATATCATGAAATGATGTCATGATGACGTCATAATGACGAGGAAGAGGTTCTGATTATGAAAATTGTAATTTATAAAGATGATTAATGAATGAAGGTTGTATTGAGTGATCATGATTATGACGATGAAGATGATGATGACGAAGATGATGATGATTCATACATGGATGACCGGCTTCAAAAGCAAGCAGATGATTGTATGCTGTAGTTAATATTTTTGTCAACCAAAACTTCATGGACTTGAAAATTATTTTGAAGTTTAAACATTTCGTGAGAGATTTTATCATTCAATTAAATTTTTTTTATTCATTCACTCGCTCGTTCGTTCGTTTATTTGTTCGTTCATTCATTCATCGTTCATTCATTCATGCATCCATCAATTAATTCAGCTTTTTATCCATTCATTTATGTATTTATTTATTTTTTCTCGCTATAAATTTCTCTTTTATATAATTATCATACGTATTTTTCCCCTCAGTTGCCTTCAAAATGGAAGTTTTCAGAGCAATTTTCAGATCAGTCAAAAATTCAATTCAACGGTTTTTTAACGATCATTCATTTGCGTTCATCTGGAAATAAAAATAAATAAATAATAATAATAATATAATTAGTAATAATAAAAATAATAATAATAATAATAATAAT